ATGTTGAAGTGTAAACGAGAAAGACACATAAATGGAATGAACAATATGATAAGAGACAGTGAGGAGCAGAAAAGCGAGGGAAGCAATGCCTAGTAGTCGTTGGCAGTGGCAGGTAGTGATTCGATAGGAGTAAAGCGCTCACGTTATTCTCGGCGAGAATAAGAGGGCATTTCTGGGAAGAAGCGAGCCTATCCACCGTGGTACGGTAAGCGTGCATCGTGCCCAGTAAACGCTGCATAGCACCGACCCTCCCCGTACGGTTAGCCCCTTCAACCACTGCTCCTGGTAAACCTCCGAACGGAGCTTGGAAGAAGGGAAAAAAGCATGACCAAGATCAGAGAGTTCCCCAACTTCATTTTTTGTGAGATTTCGTTGTAATTTTATGGAAATGAAGTCTCATGAACAATGAAGATTGTAATTTTTTCATAACCTCTTTGTAATTTTATGGAAAAACGTCGTCAAGTAAAGTCTTTTGCGAAGCATCATTTCCATGTGATTACAAAGAAGTCTCATAAATGTGAGCATGTAGTTGAGCTCCTGAAAGAGATGAAAATTAACAAGACGATTCATAGAAAACATAAACCCGTGGAGAATCAAAAAGCAAACGAAAGCTCCGAAAGCTTCAAGCAGTAGTACAGTGTTGGGAATTCGTTTACGAAAAGCTTTTGAGGTTTGGAACAGATGAAAATAGAGAACAAGTTGATAGCAGTATAAAAAAAGAGAAAACATAAAGGCAAAGTCGGTCGACCACCATCGCTGCAAATTTCCAGTCATCCTCAACATCTTTGTTTCGCTCCTTTTCACGGATTTCTGCAGTAATCACCTGAAATTGATCCACTTCAGCAACCATTTTTTTGGCTATAAGCTAGGGCTAAAGAACATAGCTCAGACTCACAGACAAGTGTTCGTGGATTTCATTGAGCACAAGCAATTGAGCGACTTGTTCTTGTGTAACCTAAAGGCATATTTCTAGGCACAGACCATTATTTCAAGAGTTAGCAGACGAGTAACGCTAAAGAACAGGATGAATTGCTTAAAGACACGGCTTGCAATAAGCATCACTGAAGTTTCTTCTGTGGATGAGGTGCAATACATCGGAAACTGCAGAGGTCAGGCCACTTCCGCTCTTCACTGGCGAAGAATGAATGCTAAAGCGTGCTCCACACAAGATACCGAAAGTCTACATGCACTTGGGATTTTTGTCCACCTCATTGATAGACCGCCTCCTCTTCATCAAGCAGCACGGGAGTCAGGTTGGTTGGAGGCCGTCGTCCGAAGCGGTATAAACGGTCGGCAGGGTGAAAATCGTGTCGAGTACGTGGTCGCAGAGGTACGACCCCCCCCCCGAAATCGAGATCCTGGCACGACCCCCTCTAACAGAGCAAATTAATTCAATTAAAATAAATCCTGCAAAACAAATCAAAAAAAATTCTGCAAAATAATGCTAAGGACGCTTCATCTTGTCATCTATGCACGTCTTCCATCGCTGCATACTTTTGTGTACATACTGAAATATCGACTCGAGGAAAGAGGCATTAACTTTGTGTGACCTCAAGGCGAGGTTCGTTCAGAAACGCACAGAAATCCTGAAGACACGGGGTTGCGATTCAATCTTGATTCTTGCTTGAGTATATCAAAACAGCCGAGTGTATCAAAGGCCGATTCAACGGCAGCTGCGGCGCGATTGTCACTGGGTCAGATTTGCCGAAATTTCAAAAAAAAACGTCCGAATCTACACCCTCGATGAAAAGGTTGCATTCCTCCATTTCACAACCTTTGAAGCAGCTTGAGGTAGAGTTAGATAGAGCTGGATTTCGCGTTTCCAACAAGCATCGAAATTGCTCTGGAAGCCTTCCTTGCAGAAAGATAGGGTCTGTCAAATTTCGTCGAGTAAATGTCGAGGAGGCCGAAATTTTCACGCGAGTTTTTGCCACTTCAAGAGCAATATATCTCTTATATTGTAAGATCCTGAAAAAGGGAAGATAGTTTTGGAAAGCGGAAGGTTTGCGCTTCCTGATGGTCTGTTTAGTTTTCTTCTACAGCTTTTTGGTTGAAGAGATAATTGCGTCGAGGATCTATCGAGGTCGGATCCGGCCACCTGGAAATCCGCTCCCTCATTCACCATTGCAAGTGTGACTCGTTGGCAACACTCGGAATGTGTCTAGAACAATATCTTTGAACGCAAACAATAAGAATAGGAGCAATCGTCATCATCCGATTTGGTATTGGTATAAGCCATGCATCCCTCCTCCACTCACAGTTGCAGAATCGATTGAAAGGTGTTATATGATGGGGACCTTCGAACGAAACTGTTGTAGTAGACATAGTGTGTTGTGCTATTCCTGTAACCTAAAAAACAACTTCATTTGCCCAGCGCTTTTTCTTCACGGTTGTCGTTTTTCCGACAGGGTCCCTAACAACAGCGTCATTCTCAGCGAGGTATTAAGGGAGAAGGAGCGAGTGATAGGCGGAGGAGGTGCCTTTCTTCGGCCCACCCGCGCAGCGCGTGCGCACATGTGGCACTCTTCTTTGCGGGGATGCACTTTCATTCTTTGTACTGCCTTCAATATACGCCCTTCTCATGAAGGTGGAGGAATGGAGCGACTGAACCTGCAAAGAAAATTTAATATCATGTTTTTTTCGGATGTTTTCATTTTCTGCTGCGCTATACCCTATTACCTATCTGCACCATGATACCACTTCTGTTACTGACCCCCAAGAGTACGACCCCCCATGGACCAGCCCAACAGGTACGACCCCCCTGTCGAGGATTTCCTCGACCGATATTCACCCTGGTGGGGGGTGAGCGTGGCCGCCGTTGAGTAAAAAGGAGAGACAACCGTCGTAAACACCGGAAATACTGGACGTTTTGTTGTCTGCTTCGGGAGAGTCTAGGAAGCAGGCAGAAATAATAATGAGAAGCTACATAATGGCAGCCAAGGAGAGCGAAAACGTTCTCGGGGCAAAGAACACTCAGCGATACACATGGGTGAGATACCATAACGGTGGGTGTGCCTTAGAAAAGGATTTCACGATAAATATGAAGAACTAAGAGAGAGAGGAGACGACATAGTCGAAAGGAAACTAGGCCTGCTCCATATAGCCAGAAACCGACCGCAATTCGCATCGAAGGATATGCCGCCGGCTATCTACTCTATCACGGTCCCCGTCCGCGGCCCAGTTTCGCACTATTGGGCGCGGTACCCCGCCCCCTCCCTCTCGCGTCGTCTCGTGTCTGAGTCTCTAGCCGTTCAGCAGAGAGAGCGTTAGCGTTGAAGAGGGCAGCACCGATGAGAGTCGCATCAATGCGCAAATCAACGGACAAGGGGTGCTATTCCTCGGGTCCTAGGCCATTTTTTACTTCTTTTCTGCATCACCAGCCTTTTTCTTCGTGAAATCCGCCTTTAACTACTGAGTCATACCTCATTAATCGGAACGATGGAACGTTCTGGAAGTAACCGAGAGCCCTTCCGCCAAAGGTGACGCCGCTCCTCGGCCGGCTGTTGCTCGACTTCATCAACGACGGTTAGCCTAAGATAATATTTTTCATTGTGACGCAAGACAAATAATCGAACTTCTCCACCTTTCGGAATCAGAGCTCAATATGTCCAAGTGCTTACTTTGGTGGGACAGGTGTAACCATTTTCGATAGGATGGAGTCAATGCAGACGTTCTTTTTATCGCTCTGCTCGTCCTCGTCGCCTTCTTTTGTCATTTTTCTACCTGCGGCTATGTATCCCGGTCGATGCATCATGAGCACCCAAGGCAGCCAGTTCAGCATGATGCAACGAAACTGAAAATACTACCCTTACATTCGACTCAATACTACCCTTACATTCGACTACAATTTACCAATAGTTTCTTTAAAGGGTAGAGGACGTTTCTAACGAAATATTATACTACATTCAACCACTGGCCGCGAAATGTGCAAGAAGTCATGAAGCATGACCTCCCTTGAATGGGGCAAAAGGTATAAATTCACAACTAAGATGTGACCTAGCGCTGTAGAGTATCGAACAATTTTTTGGAAGTGCCTAACAGGTCTCCTTAGAAATAGAGATGAATAATTCATGGTAACGATCTAATCAAGCCAGCGAATCGCTTCATTCCTACTACTTTGTTTTGGACACATGTAAAATAGGGTTGAAGAAAAGCTAATAAGTAACTACTTACCATGCTTCCCATGTCGTGGGAGTACGAATTCCGATGGTGAAAGTTCAGAGCC